TACTGAATGTTTTATAATTAGACAATGAAATATACTAATATTAATTAATTTTATCTTAAATGGGCATTCTTTCGTAAGTAATACAACACCCCTAATGCCCCTAAATGCCTAATTGGCAATATGCCGGTTTGTTTGTTTTGATTTAACCTCAAAATTTGACACATATGAACACATGATCGCACTACAGCCAAGTAGGCCCATCTTTAAAGATATTCCACCAGATATACTTAACAGCTTCTAGCAAAAAAAATCCCAAAAGTTGCAATAACTTCTGAACCGTAATTTTTGTACACTAATGGGAGTTATACCATCTTGTTTAAAGTCAAAAGTAGTAGGTATAAAATTCTAAATTTTAATCAAAATCGCTTGGGCCAATTTTGAGAAAATTAGATTCTTTTGTTATTTTATGGGTGTTTGGTTGATTGGTACCTACATACCAAATGTCATCAAAATCAGACCACAGGTGTGATATGTAACTCTGTTCACATCCACACATACATCACTTTGAAAACCACTCATTTGGGTTCAGGGGGACCCAAAATGGATATATCCACCCAAAACTCAAACTCAAACAATTTGACAAAAACAATACTTTCTCCATAAACTATGTATAGGGGGAGAAACTAAAAGTCCACTTTATTGCCTTACCAGTAGCAGCAAACATGATTACTTGTTAAACATAATCTACAGGATGTCCCACGAGAGGTGTCTCAAATTGATTACGGAAAAACGGCTTAACGTACAAGGATGAAATAAAATTATTTCCTGCTCAATTGACCCCAAGGAATAACGTAAAAATATTTTTAACTTTTTTCCAATACAGGGTGTGCCAAAAACTGAGGGTCACTAGTTCGAATCTCGTAATTTTCATATGTAAACATGTGTCATGTTATACATAATTTTAAAGGTATTTAATAGACAAACATTTTGGGGTAAACAGAAATTAATTATCTTTTTCCAATTCAAAATGGCAGCAGTTTTTTTTTTTAATCTATATCATTTAAATACTCTGTGTTTCCTATACCAATGCATTTAGCCCTTCTCTGGTTGAATTTTCTTACTCGTTATGTAATTAGCTTTACAGCTAAAAATCATACAAGTTACAATACAATACAAGTTATGTAATTAGCGACAAGTAACAGTTTTTTGAAATATTAATAATTCCAAAAAATGTTTTTTTTTTAATTTACAAATGTTCATTGTTCAAAATATTCAAATAGCAACATATGTCAAGTGGCACATCATTTTATAGGTTTTTAAATTCCTAATAACTTTGTAACTTACACTTTTACTTCGTATCTCTTTTAGTTTTTGTGTAAATAACAAAAAACCTAAATTTCCCATATCATATGCATGTTATTTGGGTTTGACGTGGTTTAACACTAAATGAAATGGGACCTTTGGTGTTAAACCCAAATAACATGCATTTGATATAGGAAAATTAGGTTTTTTGTTATTTACACAAAAACTAAAAGAGATACTAAGTAAGTGTAAATTACAAAGTTGTTAGGAATTAAAAACTTAAAAAATGATGTGCCACTTGACATATGTTGCTATTTGAATATTTTTAACAATGAGCATTTGCAAATTTTCAAAAATAAATTTTTTTTGGAATTTTTAATCTATATATTTAATACACAGTTGTAACACTGTTTTCTCAGTAATTACTGGACCGATCTGGCGATCTACAAGATTTATGTCTCAAATTAAAGGGGATAGTGTGTAGATTTGCCGAACTTCCTTAGAATTTACATTTTTTCTAAGGGCTACGACCTACAGCCCTTTAAAGGTCGAGTCAATACAATTCTTATTGAAGAATATAATACACAGTTTATAAATTATTCGTCAGCTGTTTAATGTTTGTCAGACATTTGTTATTATTTTTATAACCTCACTTTCAGTATGCAATTATTAACCTTGGAGTTTCTGTTTATAAACACACGATTTTGATCAAGGAAAGTGTATTTGTTAACTTATTTTTGAAATGTTTTAGTTTTCCTGCAAAGTGATCTGAAGGAAAGTGGTAATTGAGTTTAAGTTTGAGTATGGAATGTGAAATAATACCCATAGTAGGGAACGGAAACTTATTCAATATAATTTATTCTCTACGGCCACCAGAATAATCATGGGGAAATCCGCTTGCAAGTTGTACATATAATTGCTAATGAGTGGGAAACATACAAACATTTTATAGTAGGTGACGAATCTTACTCAAGATCAGTGTTAGACGTTCAGTGGTACCAAACTTTACCTTCTCGAGATGGCGAGTACGCTGGGATACGTGGAACTACAATATATCAGTGAATTTTTTTTCAAGTACACAGGGAAGTTGCTTGAGAAACTGTGACTTACCATTCGGTTCTGGCGAAGAAGTAGGCTATCTGACTTGATGTTTAATGGCAATGTTTTAGTTTTCCTGCAAAGTGATCTGAAGGAAAGTGGTAATTGAGTTTAAGTTTGAGTATGGAATGTGAAATAATACCCATAGTAGGGAACGGAAACTTATTGTTTTGATCAATATAATTTATTCTCTATAGCCACCAGAACAATCATAGGGAAATCCGCTTGCAAGTTGTACAGATAATTGCTAATGATTGGTAAACATACAAACATTTTATCGTAAGTGATTAAGCTTACTCAAGATCAGTGTTCGACGTCCAAATTTTACATTCTCGAGATGGCGAGTAAGCTGGGATATTTGGAACTACAATTTATCAGTGAACTATACCCTAACTATATTTTTTCGAGTAGGCCTACACAGGGAAGTTGCTTGAGAAACTGTGACTTACGATTTCGGTTCTGGCGAAGAAGTATCTGACTTGATGTTTAATGGCAATGTTGACTCGGGTCATTATAGCGTTATAAAACTTTATCATTAACCCCAGGTTGGAAAAGTACAAAAATAAAAGAAAAGGTAATCATTAACCGGGCGTAAAGAGACATACAGAACGAAAAAAATATTTAGAGAACCATCAAACTGACTTGGCTCAATCAATTTGACTTGGCTAATGCATGTATATGTCGATCTGGCCTAATAAATGACTTATTGACTTATTATCATTAAACTAAAAAGGTAAAGAGCAGTGATTGTGTTAAATGTGCTCTGGAAGTCCCTTCTAAAAAATACAAATTTTTTTGAATTGGATTTGTTAGTACTGCAAATCTATGAATTTTGAGTCAGAACAGACTAACTGGGACACAAATATTTTTTCCTTATGTTGTCACAAGGGGAAGGTAAAATGAACTCCTTATCAACATTTTGAGTTTATTGAAAATCTTATCAACAGCGACTATAAAAAAAAGTATTAAGGGTCAAAAGAGACAAAAAACTATTTGAGTAAAACCTTTGACTATTAATACAACAACTTCTGTATCCAATAGTCAATGGTAAAATATAATACAAATCTGCATTTGAAATGGCCAGTTCTAAGTCTCACTTGAATCAACATCTTTCTGGTAGTGGTAGTCTACATAGTTTTAAAATCCACGACTCCTTTTCCATCAAATTGGACCGTTAATACCCTCTAACATTGAACAAAGTATGCCCAACTTTATATATACGACGTAAACACACCTTTTACTCACAGTATGGGTCAAAGATTCGTAAAATGCGACCAACTGCTGATGCGTGATTTACATGTAGGCTAAGTGACTATCTTTATTCCATACAACAAATGTAATGAAAAAAAACTACGAATATAGGAACATTCTTGAGCAAATTATCTAAATAGCATAAATAGCTGCTTATTAGGTTATCAGCATTGCCCAGATCATAGGGGCAATACTATTTATTTTTCAAATGAAACTCGAATTAATATAAAACATTCATTTGGTTAAAATAATATATCGGTTTGATTAACATAAAATAGTTTATACAGGCAAACTATCAGTTCTATTTCATGTAAAAAATTAAACAACCCCTAAATAAAATACAAAGATAAACAGTATTTGTTAATTATTATTTCTTTATTGCTGACAATATTCCCGTGGCGGAGCACGGGCGGTTAACTAGTCTATATATTTAATACGCTAGGCATATTTTTGTCATAATTGTTTTGGAGCGGTGGTGCTACCGATCACCATGTCCAAGGTGTCGTTAGAAAGGTCTTAGCATGTAGTTTTGCCATCAAACAAAAAAACTTTGGAATTCCATCAGGGCTCTGCCCTGATGTTATTCTTAGGGAGAAAATGTTTGTTTAGATTTGAACAGATGAATACTTTGGAATTGACACTAATATTTGAAACAGCTGGTTATACTAAAATTGGAGACATCTGCTATAAGGACTTATTGGATTAGTTGAAAAGATTGATGTTTCACTGTTTTAAACCAGTTTTTATTTGCACAAAATCAAAACATAACTAAAAAAACTTGACATTATGGAGACTACAAGACGTCGACCAGGACGGCCAATAGGAGGAGGCCGACGAACTTTAACTGGTAGACGCAAACTAAATACAAATAATACTATTGTCGTTGATAGCCAAATGTGTGGCACCAACATCAGGCTGTACAAGGACGGTTTTCTTTCTTCATACGAAGAGCGTCATATAATTTACACAAAAGTAATAAATAAACATTTAAACACGACACAAACACGGATACGAGACATTTATGGTAACTGATCAGTTAAGAAAACATACGACGCTAACCTGGCGGAGTTTGAGTGACTCTGGACTCAAACTCCGCCGGGTTAGCGTCGTCTGTTTTGGTTGTTAGTGGTTAGAGCACGGGACTTCAATCCCTTAGGTCCCGAGTTCGATCCCCACCAAGTCACCAATGGATTTTATCCAAGTGATAATGAAGCAACCCCTAGGTCTATCCTGAAGTAATGTGAAAGTTGAATTGTATTTTAAAACATAGGCAATTGCTACTACAATCAATCATTCAATCTTTATTTGCCATATGGATACATAACATATTATTGATAAAGTCAGGATTTACAGTTTTCAGACCAAGTCTTAACATACTACTTGTAAGAACACTCTCTCCTTATTTTTAGATATGACTGAAGAAGCTATCATGGGTCTTAATCTCCCCACTGGAATTCCATTTGTCTATGAGCTTGATGAGAACTTTAAGCCTGTCGTTTCAATGAAGTTCTTGGGAGACGAAGAAACGGTAAAGAAAGCTATGGAAGCTGTGGCTGCACAAGGAAAGGCCAAGTAACATTATCTGTAAATGAATTTAAAGGGAATAAGTTAACCCGTTATAAAGCTTTTATTCCAATGGATATAAATATGTGTAATGTACATTGTAGGTTTTGTTAAGCTTATCAAAAATTTTAATGTTGTTCAAAGGTTTATTGCGGACATTTTCCATCACGAATGTAAAAAACAATACACAACGTTTCGGGATCTGGAATCTGATCCCGTCTTCAGGTGAAAAAACTTAACTAACACATTACAACTAACAATACACAAACGCCCAACCTAAGTTGGAATACACTACCGAGGGTAGTAGTCAAAAAATATGCACTGTATAGCAGTCAAGTCATGATACAACATGCAATTAATAACAAATCACAAAACACTATAATCTATAAAAGGTTTACGTACAAAAAACTCACATAATGGAACACTAACAACCTTTGAACAACATTAACTCACCATCACCAACAATGAACTTCAAACAAAGGACAAAAATTTTAAATTATTATTTGTTAGGAGAATATACATTTCTATTAAAAGTTATTGACATAAAATGTCTAACACTGTAATTTATTGAAATCTATGTTTGCATACTATTTTGAAATGTATTTTAAACAATATTTTGTATGAATTATTTGGGGTAATATTTTTAGTTTAATTAGTTTTGAGTACCTGTACCTATTTTAATTATTCCCAGAGGATTTTCTTTAGATTACTCATACTTAATGTGAACATATACAAATGCATCAAAATAATACACTAATTTGACAAAAATCTGCCTATGATTTGTATTTACCCTTGCTATTAAGAAGTAATACATTTATTTTGTGTTATGCACCGTGTACCAGTTTGGAATCGTTTGATCCAATAGTTAAATAGCCGATCGTTTGATCCAACATTTACATTGCAGATCGGATTATCCAAAGATCGGTAGATCCAAAAGTACAGTCATAACCAGAAGTACAATTTTACATTGTGGAGTAAACTTATGAACTAGACTGTACGTTTCACTTTGGATCATTCGATCGGGTTGTTTGATCCAAAACTATAATGTGAGATCGGTTGATCCAAAAGTATGAACTATATCAATACCGTAGCTAGGAAAAACAATACCGAAAATGTGAACTCAAACGGACAACAGAGTCAAAAATGGCAGCCGTTCAAAGATATCTTGAATCTGCCATTTTGAATCTTAGAACTTTTGCCATTTTTTACACAGTTGTTATTTTGAGCCCAAATTTGTGGCATTGTATTCTACTAATTAAGACCTTTAATTTTGATGTGCATATCAACCTATGCTTACATCGAAGATTTTCTTCTTATTCCTTGTGGGTCGTCTCCCTGGAGGAGAGAAAAATTGATAATTGCTTAAAAAGGTAGGTTTTTATGATTAATATCTAGATACAAAACTGTACCACCATGGTAAAAAAAGTAGGCCTACTAAGCCGATCCGGGACTTTTTTAACACACTTGCCAATGTGCTTTTTTCTTAGGCTCTTTAGCGTTCCGACTGAAACCATCAAACATTTTTTTAATCGTGTTCAATTGTAAAAATGTTACTGTCTTGGATTTTATTTTCATATTTTTAAAGTGTGTTCTATCTTAATGTTTGGTGATGTCTAATTAAGTGCGCCGTTAGCTTCTGAGGGGTAAGTTTTGATATTTTTCTAGAATTTAAGTTAGTTGCACTGAGCACATTTTCACTGGCCCTTTTGGTCTAGGACTGGGGGACGTCAGACAATTTTGTTCCTTAGTTTGTCTCTATACAGGGTGAGTCGCTAAACTTACTGAGTGCATTGATTTTTAACAGCTTTTAGCGAATTTCCTATAGTAGTACTCATGGTAAGAACTGGACCCGGGACCGATTTAATTTTTAATTTTGAGGTCCCTAGAGGCCAAAAACACCATCCGTTCAAATTCATATATATATATATTTATATATATATGTTTTATATTATATTTATAATATATATCCGTTGGCGTGATAACTCGAGCAAAAATGATCCGATTTTGATGAAATTTGGTACAAACGTTTAGACCTACGTTTATACGAACGAGTTCGCGACCAGCATAATCGGACCATGGGAACAAGGGTTTATGGGGGGTTTTATAGGGTAAATTGAGGTCTTCCCATTTTTGACCCTAAAAACAAAAAAAATTTGCAATTTCTTTCCAAACCGTTTTGTAAAGCTTAAAAAAAGAAATAATTTAGTATATTGAAGCGCTGTTGTATGCCTAATGGTTATGAAGAAAATTCAAAAATAGTGTAATTTAAAAATCTCATGTTATTCTTATGGAGGAATAGAAAAATTGTTGTAGTTTACTTGTTTATGGATATATATTGATAACATTTGGCAAATTTATTTATTTCATCCTATACTATTGACGTATGGTCAAAATACACTTTTAGCGAATTTCCCATATAGGGAATAAGCTATTACCGTAGGTCTCATGGTAAGACCTAGACCCGGGACCGATTTACTTTTTCGTTTTGAGGTCCCCAGAGGCCAAAAACACCATACGTTCAAATTCATATATATATATATATATATATATATTATTTATATATGTGTCCGTTAGCGCGATAACTCGAGCAAAATTGATCCGATATTGATAAAATTTGGTACAAACGTGTAAACCTACATTTATTCTAACGAGTTCGCGAACCAGCATAATCGGACCATGGGATCAGGGGTTAATGGGGTAGGCCTAAAAATGTGTTTTTCCCAATTTTTGACCCTAAAACCTTTAAATTTCTACATTTCTCTCTAGACCATTTTGAAGAGCTTAAAAAAACAAATAATTTAGTATATTGAAGTGTTTTTGAATGTTCATTGACTACGGAGAAAATTAAAAAAATTGTAAATTTAAAATTCCCATGTTATTCTTATGGAGAATAAATAAACTGTTTTAGTTTGCTTGTTTATGGATATATTTTATATTTTAATCAAATTTGGCAATTTGGTTTATTTCATACTAAGCTATCAATATTTCAATTAAAAAAAACACACCTCAACATCTTCCCCATAGCAGCAAACCTAACTACTCACTAAAATTAATGTTATTTAAATAGGAAATAAATCTGAAAATTTATAGGGAATATTTGAGAAGAAATCAAGCCGGGTAAATGGAAATTCGCTTAGTATGCAGGTTTGCTGCGACGGGGGTATTTACCTTCCCCGTAGCAGCAAACCTAAGCACTCGTTAAATCTAATCTATAAGTATAAAAGAGGATGTTTGTATATATATATATATATACAGGGTGTTTTTTTTTAAAACTTGCATCTTTATTTATGTAAAAACCGCAATAGATAGAAATATGCAGTTTGCGGGAATCATCTATTGACGTAGGGGGCCCAATTTTTTTGAATTCAACGTTACATTCACATTCCCCCCCTTCCCCCAACTTAATTTTTTTAAATAGCAAGGTAGCCCTTGTGACATATCAAATAAAAGAGCACGAAAAAAGAAAATGTTTGATGAAAAAAATTTGAAAATCGGTTCATAAATTTGCGAGATATGTCCCTCCCCCCTCCCCGGAACTTTATTTTTTTTTAATCGCAAGGTACCCCTTGTGACATATCAAATGAAAGAGCATGAAAAAAGAAAATTTTTGGTGAAATTTATTTTTCATTTGATATGTCACAAGGGGGGGGGGTGCCTTGCTATTTAAAAAAAAGTAATGGGTAGTGGAAAAGGGGGGAATTATCTCACAAATTCATGAGCCGATTTTCAATTTTTTTTCACCAAACATTTTCTTTTTTCATGCTCTTTTATTTGATATGTCACAAGGGGTACCTTGCTATTAAAAAAAAATTAAGTTCCGGGTGGGGACGGGGGAATATCTCACAAGTTTATGAACCGATTTTCAATTTTTGTTCATCAAACATTTTCTTTTTTCATGCTCTTTCATTTGATATGTCACAAGGGGTACCTTGCTATTAAAAAAAAATAAGTTGGTGGCAGGGGGGGAAAGGGGGGGAATGTGAATGTAACATTGAATTCAAAAAAATTGTGCCCCCTCCGTCAATAGATGATTCCCGCAAACTGAATATTTCTATCTATTGCGGTTTTTACATAAATAAAGATGCAAGTTTAAAAAAAAAAATTCCCTGTATATATTAGTATGGCAGTGATAAACTCAGACACCGCTGAACCGATTGCCACGAAACTTGGTACATACGTGTAGAATTTCATGGAATAGGTTTATACACCATCGATTTTGTGATCCGTCCAATCGGCTCCGCCCCAGTGGCTCTGGAGTTTCCCATGTTAACCTTATGAGAAATGGAATTAATGAATCTTAACAGCTGTTTCTATTAAACAAGTTGGTTCTGTTCTATGATGTTCAATAGCATTAAAGTTACAAGGATTACCAACAGGGTGCAGCACTAATATTTCTTTTACATTTATGACAACAGCTAATTTGCAACCAAAAGGTGAGTGAGCATAGCGAACGAACTTCAACCTGGAGGCGAGTTAGCGTAGTGAACGAGCTAACCTGAAGGCAAGTGAGCGTAGCGAACGAGCTAACCTGAAGGCAAGTGAGCGCAGCGAACGAGCTAACCTGAAGGCAAGTGAGCGCAGCGAACGAGCTCCAACCTAAAGGTGAGTGAGCGTAGCGAACGAGCTCCAACCTAAAGGTGAGTGAGCGTAGCGAACGAACTTCAACCTGGAGGCGAATTAGCGTAGTGAACGAGCTAACCTAAAGGCAAGTGAACGTAGCGAACGAGCTAACCTGAAGGCAAGTGAGCGCAGCGAACGAGCTCCAACCTAAAGGTGAGTGAGCGTAGCGAACGAGCTCCAAGTTAAAGGTGAGTGAGCGTAGCGAACGAACTTCAACCAGGACGTGATTGAGCCATGCGAATGAGATCATCTTGAAAATTAAGAAGTTAAACGGGGCAAAGCCCGCGTGTTACAGCTAGTGTTATTTAAATCTATACAGGTTGTATATAAAGTCCCGCACGGGCTTAATATTTTCTAAACGACAACAGATACATCAATAAGATTTGGTACATCAACACAACACCTAAAAATCTACTTTTTTAAGGAACTATGAATTTTCTGTCATATCATGGGGACGTCCCGCAAGGAGTCAGAAGGAAATATTAAATGGAAGCATAGGTCAATATGCACATCAAATGAAAGGTCTTTTTTAGTTAAATACAATGCCGCAAACCCCACTTCAAAAGGTTGATCATGCTCAAAATTGCAGTCATTCAAAGATTTCTTGAATCTGCCATTTTGAATCTTTGAACGACTGTCATTTTTTACTCAGGTGTTCTTTTGAGCTTGAATTTACGGCATTGTAATCTACTAGTAAAGACCTTTAATTTGATGTGCATATGCTTACCTACCTACCTATGCTTACGTTACCTATGGTACCTATGCATACCTATGCTTATGTTAACCTATGCTTACGTTAACAATTTTCTTCCGGTTCCTAGGTCTGTGCCCCCTGAGGAGTAACAGGGTTGCCACCAGCCATGAAAACCTTGAAAAGCTTGAATTATGCATGAATTCTTGTGACCATGAAAAAAGGCATGGATTTCTCCAATGGACCATGAATTTTCAAAATCAGGAACGACTATTCAACTAATGCCATTAAATTTTCCAAATAAAAAATATTGCATATTTGAAAACAGTTCATCAAAACGAACACAATTAAAATACTACGTGGAGATGATTATTGGACTTTGTTTTGAATGTTTATATACTATATATAATCACTCTAAAAAGTTCTATATTAAGTATGAAAGGTTATTCAAAAGAAA